TCTCACGAAGGTTCTTCTGCTATTGCCCCCAATTTACTAATGAGGCCACAGTGGCACAAGAGGAACACTATCTTGCTGGAGGCCACTTAGGGTTAAGTGATGGTGTCCTGAGCTCCAGGACATAATGTCATCAATTACCTTCAGTTGGCCCTGTTTTCTTCCTATAGTCAGTCCATGTGGGCACGTGAGGGAGGGGACACCCCAGTCCTGTCCCTAACCTTTATCTCCCAGATGAGGAAACTGAGGTTCCGAGAGGGGAGAGTGGTAGGGTGGATAATGGCCCCTCAAAGATGTTCACATCCCAGTCCCCAGAACCTGTATGTGACCTCACATGGTAAAAGGTACTTTGCAGACGTGATTAAATTAAGGATCCCACCAAGGAGACGTTATCCTGGATTATATGGACAGGCCCAAATGTAATCACAAGGGTCTTTACAAGAGGGAGGGCAGGAAGATCAAAAAAGGAAACAGGAGATGCGATGATGGAGGCAGAGATTCTGGAGTGATGTGAGGAGGGACCATGAGCCAAGGAATGCAGATGGCCTCTAGCAGCTGGAAAAGGCCAGGAAATGGATTCTCCCCTAGAGACTCCAGAAGGGAGGCAGCCCTACGGACCCACTGTAAACTTTTGGTCTCTACAACTGCAAGGAAATAAATACGTGTTGTTTTATGCCACTAAGTTTGCGGCAATTTGTTACAGCGAGTACAGAAACTAAAACAAAAGATGTCCACCGAGGGTGCCAGAGCTGATGCAGCAGTGCAGGGCCTAACTAGGTTCTAAGAGCTGTGGCTGCTTCTGCTGAGGGAGACAGAGCTGGAGTGAGGGGAGGGAAGGGGCTTGGGAGGACTCTGAGCCACTGGGCCTCATGGCAGACCTGTGCCCTGCTTTGCCCTTTCCCCAACTGAACTGGCCTTGGCCTTCCTGCCCTTGTTTGCCAAAACGCCTACCTGCAACCCGTCCCCCAGGCCTACATGATCCAGATACCTGCCCTAGTGCCTCTTCAGGGACTCCAGTATTGAATTCCCCAGCCTCTGTGCACAAGCGACTCTTATTAAAAGTGAACTGATATCTACTGAGGCAGCAGCACAGGTCTGGAGGCTGTGGGGAATGATTCTGGGAATGAGGAAGGTCCCAGCCTTGCCTTCTACGTGCTCGGGGAAACAGTCACGTACACAGACATCTGTCTGTGAGATGGCTATGAAAGCAGAACGAAGTGTGGTGGAGACAGGAAGAGAAACACACATGTAGAGATCCTTGACCTAGTAAGTCCGAGGATTTACCTACATCATTTCACATAATCCTCCCAGCACCCCAAGCCTTAGAGAGAAATAACTAATGCTCATAACTTGGCAGGCCCCATTCTTTACATACATTTACCTATCTGAGTAGCCGCCTGTGCAAGATCCTGAGAATCTGAGACTCGATGCCAAGAAGTGACCTCAAATCATAGAAGCTAACCCACTTGTCTTGCAGGGGGGCAAGCCTGAGGCCCCAAGAGGTGAAAGGCGTTTACACAATTAAGACTGCTAGCTAGAGCCAGGCCTCCACAGCACCACACAGCTTTCAAGGCCCTACAAGCCCCAAGGAGTGAATCAATAGAATTTGGAAACTGAGCAGCAGCAAACCTGAGGTGAAGGTCCAGTTTTGGTGGCCTCCCAGCAGGCTATGCCCTAGGCTGGGGTCCAATCTGAGAGTAGCTGCCTGTGCAACTTTACATACATTTACCTATTTAATCCTTAAAACAACCCTATGAGGTAGGTCCTCTTATTCCCATTTTATGGATGAGGAAACTGAGTCACAGGGAGCAGATGCCACTTGCTGAGGGTCACAGAAGTGGTGGAATTGGGATGTGAACCTAATAGGCTGGCTCCAGAGCCCCTGTTCTGACCCACTTTGTAAAAAGCAGCCAAGGCTCAGGCAGAGTAAGACCTTGTCTGCGTTCCCAGCCAGGGCTAAGTGGTGTGGGCTTGGAACCTGGGTCCATTTGATGCAAACTCGGTGACTTTTCCATCATGCCAGGCTGTCACCTTAATTGGGAAACCAGCGAGGGGCTGCTGCAATAGTACAGGTGAGGAGTGCCTCCTAGGACAGAGGAGAGGGGAGAGGCAAGTCAGAATCAATAGAATTTGGCAACTGAACAGCAGCAAACCTGAGGTGAAGGTCCAGTTTTGGTGGCCTCCCAGCAGGCTATGCCCTGGGCTGGAATCTGATCTGAGAGTAGCAGACAGACTCCTTGGGGCCTGTAGGGCCTTGAAAGCTATGCAGTGCTGTGGAGGCCTGGCTCTAACTTAGCAGTCTAATTGTGTAAACGCCTTTCACCTCTTCGGGCCTCAGGCTTGCTCCCCCTGCAAGACAAGTGGATTAGCCTCTATGATCTGAGGTCACTTCTTGGCATCGAGTCAGATTCTCAGGGTCTTACACAGGCAGCTACTCTCCTTCTCTGTCCACAACCCTCCCTTGCTGTGCTGGGGCCACTCCCAGATCCAGGGCTCTGCTAAACAGGAGGCTGTTGCCAGGTGCACTGGGGTCCCGAGAGAATCTCCCCCCCCCCCATCAAAGAGCCAGGGTGATGCAACCTGCCTGCAATTTGCACCTCACTCCCTAAGCCTGGTCTCTCCGCACTGAAAAAGAGTCCCTAGCAGCCCCACCCTACCTTCCAGCCCCAGCTCAAGAGTTGAAAAGGCTGGGTTACCTGGACCCTGGAGGACTCTGTGAAGGTGGGGGAGGTTGAGGCATTTGAGTCCTGGAGGAGCCACAGGTCTGGGTCAAGGGTGGGCATGGGAGAGGGCTCAGGGTGCCAAGCCCTGGGCCCACAGGCAGCTACTGATGTCCCACCGCCCATAAATTCAAATATGCCAGCTCAATGTTGAGAACTAGCACCGACTCTGAAGGACTGAGGCAAACCGCTTGGGTGAGGCTGTTGGCATCAGGGTTGAACTGGGTGGGATATGACAGCTAGAGAGAGAAAGAAGTACAAGGGGCTGGGAAGGAGACCAAAATCCTGCCCCAATGCCTTCCCAGTTAGCATACACCTCACACAGCCAGCAACATGATTCCCATACCGAGCAAGTCTATTTCTGGTTGTTAAAAAATATCCTACCTGACCATCCTTTCAAAAACCCATAATCCCAGTCTATGAGACAAAACAAAACTGAGGGACATTCAATAGACTATCCGACCAGCACTCTTCAAAACTGTGAAGGTCATAAAAGACAAGGAAAGCCAGAGAAACAGCTACAGATCAGCGGCGGCTAAGGAGACATGATGACTAAATGTCATATGGCATCCTGGAAGGGATCCTGGAACAAAAAAGGGCCATAGGGAACTACCAGTTAAATCAGAATAAAGTTGAAGTTTAGTTAATAGAAGTGTACAGATGAGCTGTTGGTTCCTTAGCTGTGACAAATGTACCACAGTAATGTAAGATGACAACAATGGGAAAAATTAGGTGAGGGGTATATGGAAAACTCTATACTATCTTTTCTGCAATTTTTCTATAAACCTAAAATTATTCCCAAATAAAGTTTATTAAGAATAATGCTCTACCTACTCCCCATGCATAACTTAGAAGGTCTTCTCAAAAAAAGACTCGGGATGGGGGTGGATAACTGTGCCCTCCTGACTGCCAGCAATCTTGTCCAGTAGTCTACCCTAACCCTGCCTGCTATTGCTGAGATAGGTCCTTAAGTTTCACTTAAAAGCTGGAAGACCAATCATAGTTTTAAACCACTAACTGCTTAGCAGTGGAGACAAAACACATCCCACCTCAGTAACAGTAACAACCATCACCACTTATGTGGGTAGCACCTACTATGTGCCAGGCACTAGTCTAAGCACTTGACCTGCATTAACTCATTTAATCCTCATAACAGCCCTAAAAAGCAGGTACTATGAATGGCTTCTTTTTTCTAAGGGAAATAATAACCAGCATCACACAGCTATTAAGTGGGGTGCAGTCAGAGTTTGAACCCAAACAACCTGGCTCCAGAATCTGTCTTAACCACTACTCTATGCTGTGTAGGTAGTAATGTAGCCTCTACAAGCTCAAGGAAATATAGGGCAAAGTGCTCAAATACTGGCAGAGAGGACAGTAAGTGCTTTAAGGCAAAGTGGTCAGATCCCAAGGGATTCCTGCATGCAACAAGGGGGAAGAAGCCTGTGTATCTTTACTTCCCACATAACTCTCAACATCAGGGTCCCCCAACCTTCTCTGGATCTTGTTTCAGTCTCATAACTGCCACAAAAGTGGTGAAGGTTAAACTTCAGGTGTTAATGTCCTGATGTGGATGGATGCAGGGTGGGAAAGACAGGTTTCTGCAGCAAAGGAAAAGACCCACACCCACTTGGGCTGGTGGAGGGCCGAGTGCACTGGGAGATGGCTAGGAAGCTCCCTCTCTTTTAGTAAATGTAAGTCTCCCCATTTTTGGCAGAGTTGGGAGACTGATCAACTGGGGGGCCTCAGGAAGTCAGGGAGAGGGGCAGAATGAAACAACTGGACTGAAAGGAGTGCTGAAGCCAAGGATTGAGGGAAGGTTGGCAGGCGAGGGGGAAAAGGATTGAGTGGGGGCGATGATGACAGATTCTCCGCACCCCTCTACCAGGATGGGGCTAAGCGGCCATTACTTGGAATGGCAGAGGGTGGGGATGGCTGGAAATTGACACCTTGGAAGAGTGGAGACAAAAGCATGACCTATTAGCTGGTGTTGAATGGTCAAGTGTCTGAGGCTTTTGTGGGGAGTGTATGTGTGTGTGTGTAGATTGGGTCCCAGAGTTCCTATGAATAAAATAGATTGAACAGACATGTATAACCTGGTCTCTGTGCTTAGGGCTTCACAGGCATCGACTTAAACTTGATTCTCACAAACAACCCCATTAGGTAGAGTTGATTATTCTAATTTTATAGATAGTTTCCTATCAATGAGGCTAGAGAAGTTATTTGCCCAAGACCACCATGGCAGCTCTGTGATAGAAATGGAGCACAGGCTGTGACTCACGCGGACTCTAACCCACAAAACAGTTCTCAGTGTGAGCAAGCAGCTGGAGAATACAGACATGAGCGTGTGGCCGGCCGGAAATTCGTGAAGCAGGGAAAAGGAAATGAGAAATCAACCAGTGCTGGTCTCAGGGGAGGAGGCAATAGGTCTCAGGGTCGAGAGAGCAGGGGGTCCAGAGCCAGTAACAGAATAAAAGGGATGAACCCCAGAGTCTCCGGGAAGAGAGGGCCAAACTCCACCGCTCGAAGGGAGGAGGGGAACAAGCTCGCCTCTGGGTTGGAGCCGCGCGGGGGCGGGGCGCGGAAGGATCCGGGCGGTCGGTGCAGCGCCGCCCGGGATATATCTGTTCTCACTCCCCGGGGCCGCCACATTCTCATCCTCAGATCAAGATCTCTCCTCACACTATAGCGAAGCTTACTTTGCCCGCGAATCCCAAGCCATGGCTCTGTAGCTGCGAACCCTCCGTGCCCCCCGCCCGTCTCCGCGCTCACCGCGCCTGCGCTCTTCTTTTCGCTCCTGCCTTCTTTATTCAGCCGAGGCCGCCGCTGCCTCTCCTTTCCAGAGCCATGGAGTAAGTAACCGCTTCTCGCTCTCCAACCGCCTTTCCCGCCTTTTCGAAGCTCGCGGCCCTCACGACCAGACCTGGGGGGTTGGGGAGACGAGAGTGAGGGATCACGGTCGCGCAGGCGCAGAAGAGGGAAGACCGCATGGGCGCGCGGCCGGGCATGCGCACTCGGGTCGGTAGTGGGGGAGGGTGCCTTTTTCCAGCGTTGGCGTTTAAAGATGGCTTGCATACGGTTGCGCCTGCGCACTAGCCCCCAGAGAGGTTTTGTTTTTTGTTTTTTTTTTTCCTTTTGGAATTATTCTGTCCGGTGCTGTTGCTCATGAACGTCAGCCTATCAAAGGCCGTATTAATGTACGAAGGGCTAGCAGTAAGCAGCTGCACATGCGCAATGACGCCCCCCCGGGCGTAGGCGTGAGAACATTGGGGCCGGTCTAGTGGTGGAGCATGCGCTTTGGCCCTCGGCGAGAGAGCCACGTGTGGAAGGTTGGGGCGTGGAGAGCTGTTCTCTTCTGACCACCTCCACCCTCCCTGCTCCACATTGCTTAAGCATCTGCTCCACATTGCTTAGGCATCTGCTCCACATTGCTTAGGCGCGCAGCATTGATTCTCTCCTTTTTATTCAGGCATCAGCTGGGGCGGGTGCTAGTTTAGATTGGGTAGAAGACAGGCCTAAAAACAAGAGGGTGGAGCTAGTAGGGTCACAGTCTTGATGAACGATAAGACTTGGGAGAGTCTATTGTGCGAAGGGGCGGAGCTAAGCGAAACGTTAGATGAGGGTGGGGTTTCGATTGGAGAAAGAGGCGGGGCCTGTGCGGGTGGAGCTAAGATAGACAGTGGGGTGGGGCTCGGAGGGATAATAGTCACTGGGATTTGAATGGGTAACATTGGTGAAAAGATAGGGCAGGGAGAATTCCCCTGGGAACTGATTTGAGATGGGACCTAGGGAGGGGGTGGGGCCTAAAGGAAATATTTTAGAGGAAGGAGTGTGGTTTGAAGAAAATTCCCCTGGGATTGAGTTTTTTTCTTGAATGAAGGAATATTATGGGGTGGGTGAGTGCTAAGGTAATTCCCTTGGGAAACCATTATGTTTCTGTATTGGAAGGATTGGGTCTTGGGAAATTTGAAGAAAATAAAAGTCTGGCCTAAAGAGAATTCCCTTGGGAGTGGGCAGGGCTCAGATTTGGGGAAAGAAAAGGCAGATTTAGAATTATGAGAGGGCAAGGCATAGTCCCAAACCTAGTTGGAAGGGAGAGGGTGCCCCCCCCCCCCATGTGGGAGTATGGCTTGGTTTCCCTGTGACTTTGGCTGCGAGTGAGGCTGGCCTGTGACCCCACCCACTTTTGTCTCACACTTGTAGGTCCTCCACTTTCACCTTGGTGCCTGTCTTCGGCCAACTGAGCAACCTCCAGAGCCTCTGCTCAGCTGTTGGTGCAGCTTCGTTCATTGCCATTCATTCCCAGCGCCTGTGCTGCAGCCATGTCACTCCTGGCGACCCTGGGGCTGGAGCTGGACAGGGCCCTGCTCCCAGCTAGCGGGCTGAGCTGGCTCGTAGACTATGGGAAACTCCCCCTGGCCCCTGCCCCCCTGGGCCCCTATGAGGTCCTTGGGGGAGCCCTGGAGGGCGGGCTTCCAGGGGGAGGAGAGCCCTTGGCAGGTAAGGACAGGTGGAGAATGGCGGTGGGTGAGCTGTGGCATGGGGTTCAAGAGAGGAAGGAGAATTTACTCATTCATGTATTCATTTGATAAATAATTATTGAGTGCCTTTACTATGCCAGGCACTGTTTTAGGTACTGGGGATATAGCTGGGAATAAGCCTGACATGATCACTGCCCCCCTGGAGCTCACACTCTAGTGGAGAGACAGACGAGAGACAAATGATGAATGTGAGGTATTGGGATACATTGAAACACTTAGTAGCTGAGCTACAAAATGACAATGGGGACCTAGTTTAAAGTGGGTAGCCAGGAAACCCTCTCCAAGTAGGTAACATTTTGGCTGAGGCCTAAGGGATGGGAAAGAGTGAGCCATGAAAAGACCCAAGGGAACTATTTAGGTGGAGAAAATAGCATATGCAGAAACCCTGAGGCAGTGATTATTTTACTCATTTAGTTTGTCCCCAATGCTTGTCACAGAGTGGATTTATAATAGTTAATTAATTAAAGATAAAATAGGGTATGCTGTGTATGTTGATCTAGTTTACTTTTTAAGAATAAACTAGAAGGGCCAGGCGAGTGGCTCAGTTGGTTAAGAGCTTGCTCAAGAGTGTGAGCTCTGAGCAACAGCAGTTCGAGTCCCGCCCAAACTGCCAACAGGTGGCAGGATGGCTCAGCAAAAAAAAACAAAAAAAAAAACTAGAAAGGAAATCAGAAACCACAGATGTAGGTTAATCAGTAAAGAGGATGTTGGAATGGTTGAAGAAATGGTTGGTTGACTGGTTCATTAATTGGTTAGTTTAAAGGATTGATTGGTTGGTTACTGAATCAGATAGTTGATTGGTTGGCTGGTTCACTGATTGTTGGTTAGTTGATTGGTTGGTCAGTTGATTGGTTAGATGTTTGACTGGTTTATTGGTTGTCCTCCTCCAATCCTTCAGGTGATGGTTTCTGTGACTGGATGACTGAGCGGGTCGACTTTACAGCCCTTCTCCCTCTGGAGCCCCCCTTGCCCTCAGGTGCCCTCCCCCCACCTTCCCCACCCTCACCTGACCTGGAAGCCATGGCCTCCCTCCTCAAGAAGGAGCTGGAGCAGATGGAAGACTTCTTCCTTGATGCCCCACTCCTCCCACCATCCTCCCCACCACCACAGCTGCCACCACAAGAGGCACCCTCCCTTCCTGTCCCCCTCCCCCTCCCCACCTTTGACCTCCACCAGCCCCCTGCCCTGGATACCCTAGACTTGCTGGCCATCTACTGCCACAGTGAGGTGGGGCAGGGGGATTCAAGTTTGGCTCCCCTGCCCCCACCACAGCAGCCCCCTCCTCCACCTCAAACCTCTCGCCCGGCCCCCTACCCCAATCCTGCCATCACTCGAGGGGACCGCAAGCAAAAGAAGAGAGACCAGAACAAGTCAGCTGCTTTGAGGTACCGGCAGAGGAAGCGGGCAGAGGGTGAGGCCCTGGAGGGCGAGTGCCAGGGTTTGGAGGCACGGAACCGGGAGCTGAGGGAGAGGGCAGAGTCTGTGGAGCGGGAGATCCAATATGTCAAGGATCTGCTCATCGAAGTGTACAAGGCTCGAAGCCAGAGGACCCGCAAGAGCTAGACAGGCAGGGGCTTTGGGCTATAGGGGGTGCTGGTCTTCAGCTCTGGCTCACTTCTGTTTCTGGGGATGAGATGGGAGGGTTCCCCCATCATCCCTCTGCCTCTAGCTTCTTTCCAGAGCCCCCACTTCTCTTTCTCCTTTTATCCTTGCCCCCTCTCTTGTCCATTTCAGTTTTGCTCCCTTCCGCCCTCCCCAGAATCATGGAACATTTGGCCTTAGTCAACATCTACACTTTTCAAGTGAACAGCTGAGGGACTGAGCCGCCCCCCGCCACCCAGGAGTTCAGGGAGCAGGGAAACGCTTGGAAACCTGCTCTCAAACAGGGACTTGAGGCCAGAAAGTTGTGCAGAATGACTATGTAAACGAGGGCAGGAGAGCCATCTAGGAAGTAAGTCAGGGAGCATTTTAAGAATGGTACCCATATAATAGAAGCAAAACAAGCAAGCCAGGTGACCTTGGGAAACTACATTTGGGCAGGGAGCCAAAAAGTGGCCAAGTTCAAAGAGCCTATGGCTGGTGACTATGGAGGCAGATGGGGAGCTGGGCAGGGTAGGTGTGGCCATAGTTGGTGACGGGGTGTTCGTTTTTAGCTTTGGGAGGAAATCAGTGTTTTGTGAAGGTGCTGGTACAGAGGCTGCATCTAGGTGAGAGAGGGTGGGAGCAATCCTTTTGGGGGTTGTGGTGGAAATAAAATAAATAATTTCTTCTGGTCTGAGCGTCTTGTCTTTGAGAGGAGAAGTTGGGAGAGGGCAGTCGTAGGCCAAGGACAATGATAATAATAGAAATAACAGATAATACTTATGGTCAAGCACACAACACTTGGTACATGGCCAAGGTCAAGATGGGACTGATTAAAGTGGTAATGATACAAGACCCACTTTTAGATTCAGACCATTAATTACTTACATAGATAGCAAAAGAAAAGCTAGCCAAAGGTGCCAGCTCCCCATGGTCCTTGTCACAAACACAAAAAAGGATGACACCCAAACAGAACAGGCTGGACAGCTGCAACAAGAGTTGTGGGGTACCCTGTGTGGAGGAGCTCCCTGTCTGATTAAAGGTAGGTGGGAAATGACCTGGTAGCCATAGTGGGGATGGTCCCCTACATCTACCTGTTGAGGGTTTACTGTGTGCCAGGCATTATTTTAAGTACTTTACATTCATTATCTCAGTTAATGCAAAAGGAAGGTACTGTTAGATTTTGGATGAAGAACCATTTTTAAAGTGAACAATTCAGTGGTGTTTAGTCCATTCGTAGTGTGCAGCCGCCACCTCTATCTAGTTTCAAAACATTTTCATCACTCCAGAATAAACTCCATGCTCGAAAAAGTAGTTATCATCCCCCCCAATTTGTTTTTGACACTTGTAATTCCATAAACCAGGGGAATGAGTTTAATTCTTGTTCACCCTTGATAGCTTAGCCTTTAGCCTTTTGTTACATATGAGGACTTGCAATTTTAAGCCTGAGCTCTGCAATGTCAGTAGTTTACATTGTTCATCGCAGGCCAGTGCAGCTCAACCTTACTGGCAAAAATGGAGAAAGGACTAAATTAAACTTTACCTGATAACAGTGACATCAGGAGCATCTAATGATTTTTCTCCTCCAGAAGTGAGGCAGAAGCTGGAACTGTACATCCGAGTTGTGTGGCCTTGGACAGGTGTCTACCTCTCTGAGCTCAGATGACTTACCTGGAAGTCAGGGATGGCACCGCTCTACCTGAGGCAGCACAAAAGAGAGAATTTACCCCAGGGTTTGGAGGGGCTAACGTTTTCTCCATAATTTTTGTGAGCTGAAAAAAGAAGGTGCAGATGGGCACCCGTTATTAAAGTCAGGGAATCGATTAGAAGGATTTTAGACAGGAATCGTTTAAAGACAGGAATAGAATAGAATAAAAACATGCAGGATGGTGGTATTTCACGAAACTATGTTTTTTTGTTTTTTTTTAAAAGATTTTTTTTTTTATTGGGGAATTGTGGGGATGGGAACGGCGCTGGGGAATTGGGGGAAGGGGAACAGACACGTTGCTGTCCTTTTGTTCTTCAATCTAGTTGTGGAGGACGTTGCTTCACTGGCCCAAGTTGGCACCATCATTGCGCTCTTCCCGGGCGAGGCACATCTGTTGCCGGCTTCTGGACGGCCGCTCACTGTGGCTGCTGGCCGCTCACGCTGGCTGCTGGCTACACACGGCAGCCCATGGCAACCCACTGCCACAGGGGCTGCAGCCTACGCCATCGCCGGCGACTCACCGCAGCCCAGCTCCAGGTTGAGCTGTTGTTCAGCATCTTAGCTGTGGAGGGCAGTGTCACTGGCCCTCATATGTGGGATCCGAACCGGGGCCGTCTGGCGTCCCAAGCCAGTTCTTAACCATCGCGCCACTCGGCCGGCCCTCACGAAACTATGTTGATGTGAAATTATTTCTTACTGTGAGTCACGATCAGAAAAGTTTAGAAGTCACTGGTAGACGGCCCCCAGCTTTGTACACTGATTTCCAGACCACTGGCAATTAGCGCCACCGGCGTCGGTTCCTCTTACCCCAAAGCGAATGTTTCAGGTCTCGCGTCGGCACTTACAGGACTCCGCCGCCAAGTGGCGCCCGTGCCGCTCCGTGAGCGGGTTGTGTGTCCACTTAGACAGTCCAACGCGGTGATTCCCTTCTGGTCCCTCCTCGCCCGGAGGATCCCGTTCTCTGGGACTAGAAGTCCTGATCGTGAATACAGTCCCCAAGCAGAGCGCGGCAGGAGGGCTCGGGTCAAGGGGATGTGGCCATCCTGAGACCCATTCATCCCTTCTTCATCCCTGGATGCTCATTAAATGCCTCCCGCTCCCAGACCTCACATCCGGGTGGGGAGGACAGGCAAGACCCCAAATTCAGGACCCTGCCAGTACAGGGAGGCCTCCGCGCCTAGGCCGGTGCGGGACAGCCCCGGGTGAAATCCCGCCCAGCCCCCAGCCGGCTGTGCTACCGTGGGCAGCCTGCAAAGCCTCTGTGCCTCAGTTTCCTCTGCTATACAATGACAGTAGCACCTACTTCATAGGGTTGTCGTGAGCATTAATATTTGTAAAGCACTGCGAAGGGCCTGGTATGTTTGTTAAACCAGTTGTTAAAAATCCCCATTTACAGAACAGAATCCGAGGATCAGAGGATTCAGGGGAGTGAATCGTCAAAGCCACGCTTTTTTCCCCGTCTAGGAAGGGTCTCTGAATTGAGTCCAGTGATTCTGATTCGCAGTCCATATGCTTTTCCTCAGCATTGCACGTGTGGTAGGTGCGAACCCATCTCCTTTGGCATACTTGGAGGGCTGTTGAAATCCCCCAACAGAGCCAGGGGCCCAAGCAGATGCCAGGCAGTATTGGAGTCACGGCTGGGACTAGCATGAGGCCCTGTCTTTAGGTCAGTGCAATAGCCAGACAAGTAAATAATTTTCTTATAATGAATGACATCCAGATGTCAACAAGGACCTAGAGGAAAAGTAAAGTGAGTTGGCCAATGGCATTTCTGCAGCTGCACTGCGCCTTCAGTACTAAACTGTGATGGATTATGGGGTAAGGTTGGGCGTGGCATTACTCTCCCTCAGGAGAAGGGATCTAACAGGCCAGAAGGCTCGCGCCAGTTTCACTAACAGTACTCACATTGCCGGGTCACCTACACCAGCAGCTCTGTGGCTTTACCCTGAATGTTCAACTATGACTTCACTCGTAGTTCCCTATGACCATTTGACCAACTGAACAGTTGGAAAACGTCCCTCCCCCTCCTCCCCCACCAAGTTCATGTCCTTCCTGCAACCTCAGAATATATTACTTTATTTGGAAATAGGGTCATTGCAGATGTAATTGGCTAAGACGAGGTCCTACTGCAGTCAAGTGGACCATAAATCCAATATGACTGGTGTCCTTATAAAAATAAAAGAAATACAGACACAGATGTGCAGGGAGAAGGCCGTGTGAAGACAGGCAGAGACTGAAGTGGTGCACCTACAGGCCAAGAATCGCCAGCAGCCATTAGAGGCTGGAAGAGGCAGGGGAGGACCCTTCTCTAGAGCCTTCAGCGAGAATAGCCCTGCTGACAGCATGATTTCAGATTTCTAGCCTCCAGAACTGTGAGAGAATAAATTTCTGTTATTTTAAGCCCCACAGTTTGCGTTGCTTTGTTACAGCAGCCCCAGGAACCGAATACACCAAGGAGTGAATGAAGGGCTTTGTTCTGGTTCATAGATAGTTTGGCTGCTCTGTTGACAACAGGCAGAAACGTGCTGTGTGTGTGGCCCATGTGTTAAAAATACATAACGTCAAATTTACAATTTAAACCATTTTAAAGGGTATACAGTTCAGGGGCATTTAGTACATTCACGATATTGGGCAACCATCACCTCTATCTAGTTCCAAAACTTTTTAATACCTGTCACCCCCAAAACAGGAACCCTGTACCCTGTCAGCAGTCACTTCCCAAACCCCTCTCCCTCCAGCTCCTACAACCCACTAATCTGCTTCCAGGATTTGCCAATTCTGGATATTTCATATAAGTGAATCATAGGTACATGAAAGAGCAGAGCCCCCAAAGATATTCAGGTCATAATCTTTGGAGCCCATGAATGTTAAGTAATATGGCAAAAAGGACATTGCAGATGCGACTAAGCTAAGCATTGTGAGAAGAGGAGATTATCCTGGACTACTTGGGAGAGCCCTAAATGTAACCAGAAGCATTTTTTTTTTTAAATTGGGGAATTGGGAAAGGGTAACAGCCAAGTTGTTGTCCTTCAGTCTTAGTTGTGGAGGGCGCAGCTAGCTCAGCTCCAAGTCGTCGCCATCCAGATTCCCTTTGGGGGCTTGCAGCCACTCATCTCAAGGTGCCATGTTCAATCTTAGTTACTGGTGGGCGTAGCCCACCATCCCATGCAGGAGTCAAACTGGAAACCTTGTTGCTAAGAGCGCACGCTCTCACCAGCTGAGCCATCCTGTTGGCAGCTCAGCAGCAGCTCAGCTTGGGTGCAGCTCACTGACCCATGTGGGAATCAAACCGGTGACCTGTTGCTCAGAGCTTGTGCTCTTAATCAACTGAGTCACTTGGCCGGCCCCACAAGCATTCTTATAGGGATGTGACATATAGGGATAGAGGGAGACATGGAGATGTGAACACAGAAGAGAAGAAATCCATGTGATGGAAAAGCAGATGAAAGCACAGTCAGGAAGAGAAGATGCTATACCACTGGCTTTGAAGGTGGAGGAAACGGCCACGAGGCAAGGACGCAGCTCAAGAAGTTGGAAAAGGCAAATACATGGATTCTGCTAAAGCTAGAGCCTCCCAAGGGAGTAGGGCTTAAATTTAAATTTAGTGGCTTAAAACAACAAATGTATTCTCTTACCATTCTGGAGTCCAGAAGTCCAAACTGAGTCTCATGGGGATAAAGTCAAGGTGTTGGCAGGGTTGGGTCTTTCTGGAGGTCCCAGGGGAGAATCCGTTCCTTGCTTCTTGCAGTTTCTGGTGGATGGTCACTATAATCTCTTCTATTGTCACATTATCCTTCTCCCCCTTCTGTAGTCAGATCCCCCTCTGCTTCACCCTTATAAACTTGTGATTACATTTATGGTCCACCTGGATCACCTTCATCCCAAGATCCTTAATGTAATCACATCTACAAATCCTTTTGACCTTGCAAGGTCACATAGTACAGGTTCCGGGGATTAGGACCTGGACATTTTTGGGGGAGGGGGGAGGTGTCATTACACAGCTTGTCACATACACGGTCTTCTTGAATCTGTCACTTGGAATAGGGCCTTTTCTCTGATTCCATCCATGGAGAGAGAAAAAGCAACACTCTCAGCCTCCTGCCCCTCACCACTCCCTCCGTCTCTCCCTGGGCAATGTCACATCACTGTAGCCCCAGAGGTCCCATTCCTGCACCTGGCTGGAGAGCCTCACAGTCCTCAGCTGCCGGGAGCACAGCCAAGACCCTGAGAGGAATCTGGGCGAGTCACCTGCTTACTTGGCCCCTGCGTTCCCTGGCTCATGTATCTGAGTTCAAAAGGAAAATTCACCTTCATCACAACACCACCTGGTGCAGCTCCAGGACGCCAGGGTTCGAGGGCTGTGCAGGGCTCAGGTCAGCGTGACAGATGACACAGATCAGGTGCACAGACAGCCCTTCCAAGACTGGAAGAGATTAGTCTCATTGTGCGAACGAGTCAGAGGCTGGGGCAGCCACTCTTGGCTCTTGTGCAGTGGGTAAACAGACACCACAGGAGCGCAGAATATTTCCATTACCATTATCCACTCCTGCTTATAAACACTGTAATGGCTCATTCTGCTCCTGAATAATGGCCCAAATGCTTATTGTGATACTCAGGATATGGATGGCTCCTCCCAATATTAACCTCTGAGGTTTGTTTCAAATGCCTAGCATGTGTGCACACAAATGGGTATCCTCACCCCACATGAACACACAGGCACAAAATACATACTCAGAGACACAGACATGCACACCCACAGGCAGATGCACAGACACAAAGACTCACACACACACCTCGCGCGCACACACATACATGGTTTTCAGGCCAAGGAGACCCAGAGGCATTGATGTCTCTTCCCGAAGAAAAAGAGTAGGGTTTCTCTCTTTTGCTGGACACTTCCTAACTTTGGGTGACTCCGTGGTTCCCAGGACCCACTGTGTGTCAATGCCATGTGCTCCTGGGTCCCTGCAATCCTGCCAGTGGCTGACCTCCCCACCTCCATCCCTTCTAGCCTTCTATAGGAAAATCAATGAATAGCTTACTTGCTTTGAAAGAAGGGTAATTTTAGGGGCCCATTTTGAAATTCTGCAGAAATTGAAAAACTGACTCAAAGCAGAGTTCCTGAGTCAGAGACAGGTCCTGGGGCCCCCTCTCCACAGAGCCTGCCCCCTGAGACCCCTTCCAAGGCTTCTCTCTATGGGGTCCAGGCTGGGCAGTGAACGATAGAGTAGCCAGGGCAAGAGGAGGGACAAGCAGGGGATGCAATGAACTTGGGTCCACATGTCACGGGTTGGGGGTGCACACTGCTGATGCTGCGTGACGTCCCTGTGGTACCACCTGAGACCATTTAGTTAAAAGTCATAAGTCGCCTTTTGTTTGAGAGACAAGTGATTGAGAAGTAAAGTGAGGAACTGGTTACAGATGAAAAGGAACCAATGCTTTCTCTGTGCAGTTCCGGATTGCACTCACCCCATTCATTTCCTTTATGATAAAGTCAGCAATTTTCCTATGTTAATGAAAAAACATTCAGCCTAAGAGATATTGAAGTCCTAACCCCAGTGCCTATGGATGTGGCCTTATTTAAAAACAGTCTTTGCTTTTTCCTTTCTTCTGTGGGTTCTCTCTTTTGACCTTTTGTGGGTTGTTTTCTTCTGAACATTAAAAAAATTGTGGTAAAATACATATAACATAAAATTTACCATTTAACTATTATAATATATACAATTCAGTGGCATTAAGTACATGCACAATATTGTGCAACCATCACCTCCATCCAGCTCAGAACTTCTCCGCCCCAAAAGGAGACCCCATACCCATTAACACTCACTCCCCATCCCCTGGCAACCACTAATCTACTTCCTGTCTCCATGGATTTGCCTGTCCTGGACATTTCATATAAATAGAATCATACAATAGGTGGCCCTTTGTGTCTGCCTCCTTTCACTTAGCATAATATTTTGAAGTTCACCCATGTTGTAGCAGGTATGGCTGAATAATATTCCACCGTATGGATGGAGCACCTTTTGTTCAGTGTCTTCTAATTGCTAGTTAATGTCCAATCCTTCAGACTTGACTAGGGAGTGTGCAGACCCTAACAGGTACCCAGGGCTCCCACCTCCCAACTCAGCACAACCCAGAACCTCTCTGTGCCCAGGTGGGGGTGTGGGGGTGGGAGCGGGGCTGAGAACCCGTCCTAGCCATTGAGGAGCTGGAGAGGTGACGGAGGCGTGACCACATGTGACCCAAGGTTTCAGTTCCCCACGTGTGTGCTGTTTATCCTGGTAGCCTTCATTTACAAAATACAAATTCAAAGATGAAGTTATTAAGAATTTCAAAATGGCGGTCTCAGAGAATTGAACCCCAGGCGTGAGGCGCTGCTGAGCATGGGGCCTTGTGCAATGGTCCTGCTTCTCACTGTGGAGCTGGGAGCCTTGTGTGGAGAAAGGCAGGATGCTGGATGCTGCGTGTCCTTGGGGAGCCTGGGGGCAGGGCACTGGCTTTGGGGTCACAGTGAGGGTGAGGCCCCTGAGGGTAGCAGTTGGAAGTCTACTTTCCTGGTTGCCCCCAGCTGCATCATTGAGTAAATGTTTGCCTGGCAAGCGAATGAATAAATGAATGGCCTCCACCACCTCCCCTGAAGTCCTTACTCACCTATTTCCCCTGAGAGCCCGCTCCTGGGAACACCCTCCCGCTGAGGCTGACCCAGATTGGCCCCTATCGCTCTCTCTGCAACTTTCATGTGTGAAAGGAGAAGTCAGATGGGGGGAATCTTCTGTGATATCTGTGGTTCCTGAGGTTCCTCTTCTGTGGATGGTCACTGCCCCCTCCCGAAGCTTCCTCTTGGAGCTTCCTTCCAAAACAGACAGACAAGTCCAGAAGCAGGACAGTCAGAGGACAGGCCCAACCCCTGGGACCCTGGAGATGCTGCGACTGCTGCTGCCCCTGCTATGGACAGGTGAGTGGCTGAGGGCCGGGGATCCTGGGCAGGGGCTGGGGCTGGGGCTGAAGTTGCAACCGAGCCTCTGTGTCCCCCAGGGTCCCTGCAGAAGGATCTAGAGTACAAGCTGCAAGTGCAGGAATCAGTGACGGTGCAGGAGGGCCTCTGTATCTTCGTGCCCTGCACTGTGTCCTACCCCTGGGTTGACTGGCAGGACTCTACTCCAGCTCATGGCTACTGGTTCCAGAAAATGGATAATCCCAAAAAAGATATTCTCGTGGCCACAAACAACCAAACCAAGAAAGTAGTAAAGAAGACCAATCATCGATTCCACCTCCCCGGAGACCTCAGGGGCAACAACTGCTCTCTGAGCATCACGGGCGCCTATAAGAAAGACAGTGGAAAGTATTATTTCCAACTGGAGAGAGGTCATGTGAACCACATTTACCAAGGTGACCAGCTCACTGTAAACGTGACAGGTATGGAATGGTTCCCAGGAGTAGAAAAACAGGGATGGGCAGCAGCGTGTCCTCGGGGGGGACAGTGGAATATGGTCAGTTCAGTCAGTTCAGGGTTAGGCCTCTCTTAGAGGCCCACACGGAGTCCCCTTTGGGGTCTG